AACAAGTTTGAATTTAGTTTTTAGAGGAGCAATCGTAGCAGGCTAATTACAATGAATTATAAGGTTAAAAGAAATATTATAATAGTTAGCAAGATATCTATGTTAGATTATCATTATAAATAATGGTTATTTTATCACAAATAATGTTTATCGCAAAGAGCACAGAGGTAATAAAATCTACTTGAGATCAGTGATAAAGCTTGCTCATTGCTCATCTCGACATTTGCATTCATTTAAATGTTAAGTTTTTTCTTGAATACCTCCCATTATTGCATTATTTTTATTAACGACAATTGCATTTATCATTTTATCATTTGAGTCAAATATGTGTTGCCTAAATTACTGTTTTATTTGATAAGGGAATCACTGCTGCTTATAGTTTTTGGAATCATTATTTGATTTTAGATCTAAAAAGTTACAGTCAGTTCTCAATTATTTACTGCTGTACAAGGTTCGGTAGTTGTATTTCTGAGAATACATTCGATTAATAGATTACCCTATTGTACAACCTATATTTAATGAAAAAGCAGTTGAATGCATTTGAAAGTGTGTGAGAAGCGTGAAAGAGTGACTCGAATCTTATAGCTCAGTTCAGGGTACCATTTTATTTGTATTTAATAACTTAAAATAAAAAGCTTAAGTTTTTGTCCAAGTTTTTTACTGATAAACGATCATTTCTTACTTTGAAAGTAAAAGTTTAAAGTCATCAATAGTTACTGCACGAAAAAAGTGTTTTGTTTGCTTTGATAAAATCTTTGCATGTTTTTAAACACACCTAAAATGGATAGATGGAAAATGTCAGAATTTATGTTTAATTTGAATATAATTGCTACAAATTTGTCATAGCAAATAAGGTATGAGATAATCATTTTTTTCAAGATGAACTTTGAACTTATTTTACTTATGTTTATGCAATTTAATCTTTCTTCAAATTAATTTTGCTACACAAATATTAAAATTTAATTTTGCAGTCTATTCATTTTTTAGTGCTGCAAAATACACAAATTACAATATTTACGATAAAAGTCCTTTATTAACTGTCCGTGTGAAAATTTTATCATTTTTATCAATGTCAATCCCTTTCTGTCCCACGTTTGATTCAGTTTCATTTTAATCAAAAAGTTTACCAGCTTCGCTTAACTACACGAGGCTTTTTTACAAGCGAAATTACGCTATCTTCTCAAAAAGTGCAATTATTTCCTGCAAGCTTTCATGAGCTGACTATTTTTGTAGTTATCATTTGATTGTTGATTTGATCGTAATTATCAGCGGTGCATAAAGAATCATTGTTTGCTTCAAATCAAATAAAGTGATAATGGATTGCTTTTTACTTCTGTGTATGTAAACTTCTTTGCTAATAAAAGTCACCAAAGCAAAATTTTCAACCTTTGTCTGACTTAATATGAAAAATACTGTCATACTTACTTACTGCTAGTACTTTTCAAATAATGCTAATGCTTGATATTACAATTATAAATTAAATTATTGACTTCATTTTTTATAACAAACTTTAAAATTTGATTATTTTTGGCATTAAAGTTTTCAAGGAAATAAGGTTAAAGCCTTTTCTATTTCCATGCTTAATATCCCTTTGATTTTCTAATATTTTGTTGTTTTTCAAGACAAATGAAAATTAAATACAGTTTTATCTAACTTTTTCATTATTGTTAATAATATTATTATTACAATTATAATAATGATTATTACGATTATGCTATGACTATGATTATGATTACGATGACGATTATTATTATTATTATTATTGTAATTATTATGAATTACGATTCGAACAAAATTGTCTTTCACTGATAGAAATTTAAATGTTCAGATTCATACGTATGATGACGTCACATCATTTTAAACTTCTTAATAGGCCATCTTGAAAATTGCTCAATTATTAATAAAATTTTACCTTTGTAAGAAGGAACGTGTAAAGAACGATAAATGAGTCTAACCTGTCATGATAATATGTGAATTTATTTTGTGGCTTTACTCCAAACAGAGATAATTTCACGTAAACTCCATTCAAACACGTAAAAACATAACTATTTATTAACTGTTCCAATTTACCATCTCTTCAATGATTAACATAAAAGAAGCCAGAAAAATTAAAATTTTCTTTGTGCTTCAGGTAAGCAAGCATTCTAATCGGAAGAAAAACTGCTCGCATTCAGTTTCTACCTGTTGAATAAAGTATCATTTGATTCGTTTGGGGACGAAGGTATTATTGATTAAATTTCTAAATTCTCAAAACAACCGCCAACATTCTCCCAGAACCGCAAGCACCGCGAGTTGGACTCGCATTATCCGATCTGCAAGCGCAAAATAACACCAGGTACAATTTTTTTGCTAGCATTTAAAGTAAATATTTTTGTTTCATTTAAAATAAAATATTTAAAAATCTATACCAAACTTTTGATTATAAGATTTGGTTACTGAATTATAAACGTGAAATATCTTCGACTTGATCTCATCTAATCTTTTGAGTCGATAATATCCCTCTCAACACTTCAAATTAATGAATTGATTTAAATAATTGAAATCTTTGAAAGTAGTTCTCAGTTTTGTGCATCAAATTTTGTTTTGTATTTTGCTAGTCTTACAAAGGATATTAAATTATTTTTACTTACTCAGTGTAATAAATTGAACATTACTCGATATTTATTAGCAACTGCCAAAGCAGAATTAAGAACTCATCTAACTTCAGCAAGCATTCTTTAATTAAAAATTTTTGGCCATTACCAAAATATTTTTGAAAGATAAAAAAA